CAAAAAGTTGGTATAGATTTTTAAATTTGATTTGAAGTCTACATAATTTTACTAAAATTTAAGAAAATCTAGTAATTTCATATTATTAAAATTAATTTTATATATATGCACACACACATATATCATTCATTTTAAGTTTGAGTTTAATGTAGCCTAGTAGCATGGGAACTCTCTTGTAAGTGAGAAGTTGCGGGTTCAATCTTGCTTGTAACCTCAGGTCGTTAGTACCTGTCCTTATAAAAAAAAAAAAAAAAAGATCAATCATACATCATGCTTTTGTTATTTTCACTAATAATGAGGGTCTGTGCAATTAAATATTGGTGCACAGGCTAATTATCCTCAAGTACTCGGCCACGAAGGCATTGGGTAAGCTCTATGAACTGCTGGTTATTAATTTTAAGTTAAATTTGATTGTTTGCATGTAATTATATATGCAGCTTCCTGTTCACACACACACACACGCACGCACACACACACTATTTTCCTGTTAATTAAATTTCATCTCCTTTATGAAATTAATTAATTTCACTTTTGTCTCTTTATTTTCAAAATAATGTCATCAGAAAAAGTTTCCTAGTCAATTTAGGTGAGAATAATGACAACCAACATGATTTGGCGTGTCATCATGGGTCACACTATTCTTTTCTATCCCAATACACACGCAAGCTTATATATATATATATATATATATATAAGGGGCGAATCTTGCACCTGAAAAGGGGAGGCAGGCTTGACTTTTCTAATAAGGATAAGCTTCAATTTTGTTCAATGGACACTTAGAAAATGAAGTTCAATGGGTTAATATTATGTATCTTAATTTAATGTATAAATTACTCTCCTAATAAAAAATACTAATATTAGATGGGATATTTTATTTATTTTTTAAAAATATAGTTTTATTGTATTAGATAAAAATTTCGTTAGTCTAACTTTATTTGGAATTAAAAAAAGTTTCTGTTAGAACTGGTTTGACCAAAACATTTATTTATTCATTAAATTATGTCATGTATAAGAACTTAACTATATATTTAATGAGATTAAATTTATCATATTCAAATCATAATCCTTCAGAATATTTTGGCCAAGTCTTGCTCTTAATGTAATTTATATACTTTTAGAATTGAGCTAATATATAATTTTCAAAAAATATCCCAGGGTAGGATTCATATATAGTATACTAATATTTGTTTAATTCATCTAGTGTGACAATGCAACATAAACCTAAAGTTCAAAATGATATTTTTTCACTATTAGTACCATGGATGATGTGACATGACAACACTTAACAAATTAATAACGTGAATAAAATATTACATTTTGCTCATAACTTTATAGCTTAGTGGCATGTTAGCTCCGTTGTAAGTGGGAGGTTGTTGGTTCAATTCTACTTGTAACTTTAATTTATAATGATGGTGATGATGTATTAATTGAATGTAGTGTTGTGGAGAGCATTGGGGAGGAAGTGAAGAACGTAAAGGTAGGGGATGTAGTGATTCCATTGTACTTAGGAGAGTGTCAAGAATGTGAGGAATGCATAAAAGGGAAGACCAACCTATGTAGGACATATCCTATAAGGTTGACTGGGTTGATGCCAGACAATACTTCTAGAATGTCTGTGAGAGGTCACAAGGCATATCATCTAATGAGTTGTGCCACATGGTGTGAGTACATGGTGGTTGATGCTAACTATGTTCTCAAAGTCGACCCAACAACCATTGATGCTGCTCATGGCAGCTTCATCTCTTGTGGCTTCTCTACTGGTTTTGGAGCTGCTTGGAAAGAAGCCATGGTTGAACAAGGATCGAGTGTTGCTGTTTTTGGTCTTGGTGCTGTGGGGTTAGGGGTATGCATCTCTCTCTCTATACTCTCTCTCCTCCCTTCTTGATCTTTTTGATCTATTGGTACTAGATAAGTTCTTTGATGAGTAAAAATTTATGAGATAATGGGAGTTAGGTCTCGAAACTTTAATTATTAATAACAATCAGGTCATTGATAAATTATTTTGAAAAATGAGCTGCAAGTATTGATTTAAACAAGTGCAAATTCATGAGTTCCAATTATAGATAAAACATTTAAATTTTAAATTTAACTCTCAAATTGTATCTATAATTCCTGTTTGTAATTGTCTGAATTAATATTTGTAACTCATTTTTTAAAAAAATTTGGTCAAGATTAGATGAGAACTAATTAATTCAAAATTTTGGTACAACTATTTATTGGTAACTCATTAATTCAAAATTTTGGGACCTAATGGTCATTCTCCCAAAATTTATTTGGTACAACTATTTGGCATGTAGTATTAGATGAGAACTTGTTTTACAAGGTCGCTTTATACTAAGTGAATTTATTTAGGGAGAATAACAAATAAAGATCTTTGAAAAATATCAATGACCTTTTATATCTGAAAAATTCAAAATTTACAACTAAATATTCGATATTTACAATTTAATTATCTTTTATTAGCAAGGTTTAATTTGAACCTATGGCCTCATTTAAGAGATATCAAATCCATGCTATTCAACCTACCATTATTCTCACTTTCTGACATAAGAGCATCTATAATATTGTAGGTTATAACCAAACAATTCAAACATATATATACATCTCCTCACTTAGAGACATATGTTGTTACTTGGGTAAAATTTGTGCCTATATGGAAAATTAGTACTCGCAGGGAGATGATAGATTTATAAGAAAAAGTGTGACATCTTTACAGTTGATAATGAAGTTTAAGTGAATTGACGCTAAGTTCGTAGCATATACTCTCTTGATAATGGATATGAGCAGTAATAACAATATATGCAGGCTGTAAGTGGAGCGAAATTGATGGGAGCAACAAAGATAATTGGGATTGACAAAAATGAGAAGAAGAGAGAAAAAGGAGAAGCTTTTGGGATGACAGAGTTTATAAATCCTGACAAGTTATTATCAGATCAAACTGTATCTCAAGCAGTCAAAGAACTAAGTGGTGGAATGGGTGTGGATTATTCCATTGAGTGCACTGGAGCTCCTCTTTTGCTCAATCAAGCCATGGAATCCACTAAAGTGGTATACAAATTAATTTCATAATCCTCCATTTTTCTCAGTTAAATATAATTATATATAGGACTACATAATAGCATTATTTTTCTTATTTAAGTAATTTAGTTTTTTTAAAATGAGTTCATATATTAAAAATATTTACAGGGAGTGGGCAAGACAGTGGTAGTAGGTACAGGAGCTGAATCTGTGCAGCTAAATTGTCGTACCTTTATGTATGGAAGATCATTGAAGGGTTCTGTATTTGGAGGCATCAAACCCATTTCTGATCTTCCTTTTATAGCGCACAAGTGTCACACAAAGGTTAGTATATCAAAAATAAATTCTGGATAAATTCTCCGTATTTATGGTTGATATAGTGACTAAAATATAGAATGAATAGTAAATAAATTTCTTTTGTTTAATTTTGTAGATATTATATGGATTATTTTTTATTTCCAAAAAGACACATGGATTTTTTTTAAAAAATTAATTATGCTAAGAGCTAGCCATGGATTAAAAGTTACACAGACATCTCTTAAAACTAAACGAAAAATTATAAACAAAACTTTCTTGAGTTTTACTAATATACACTCTCATTTCTATTTTTTAAACTTATACAAACTTGTTTTGAAAATAAATAATAAATTATAAAGACCTCCCGTAAGTTTTTCTGGAAATTATACAAACTTCTTATATATCTATTTTGAAGAGAGCATTGTATATATTTTGAAAACGAAAGAATATCTATGTAATTTCAGCAAAACTTGGATATTTTATGTGATTTAATATTTATATTAAAAACATTTGCTTAAGTTTTTTAAAAAAGAGAGGGTGCATATGATTGCATAAGTTTGACAAATAATTCATGAAAAAATTATGTTTGTTTTGAAAATAGATCTGAGAAAAGATCAGTGTAATATATTCTCAAAAATAATCACTGGCTGTACTAAAAAAAAAAAAACCACTGGCCTGGACTTGTCAAAATGGTATTTTTTTTCCAAGGATTACGTGACGTCTTCTTGGAACAGCTTTTGTTATTTAATCAGAAAATTTTCTAAATGAATTATGCCGACTGAAAAGCTTCTACAGTATCAACATTCAGATGCACAAAGTGATTCTGTATTTGTTAAATATAAAACTACTAATAGACTGATTTTCTTATTACAGGAAATTCCAATTCATGAACTTTTTACCCATGAGGTCCACTTGGAAGATATAGGCAAAGCATTTGAGCTAATGAGACATCCAGACTGTGTCAAAGTTGTGATCAAGATGTGATATGATCGATCATGTGTTGTTTTAAGAAGCCAAATTCTATTGTAATTTTTTAACAACTTAAGTTTCAAATAAAGAATGACATGTGGGAATGAGATTGTGACCATGTGTAATTTGTCATTTTACAATAATTATATCATATTGATTTGTACGACAATGTACTCCATATTAAAATTTTACAATCTTCCGACTCTTAGAGGGACCACAATCCTCACCACATCTAAAAGGAGTTTAAAACTGAAATTATCTAATGTTATGTTGAGTACAGTCTGTCTTAAAAGACTAGTCAATATGCTAGGTGGAAGAGCCATTGATATTTGAGTATTTAAATTTCACTTTTATTATGACATTCCTCCACATGGGATTCATATCAGTCACTTTTCAAATAGCAAGGTTGATCCTGTGCTCTATATTAATTAGCTGCATCTTAACAGAATCTTGACTAAAATAGTTTATTAGTTAGCTGCAATTCTCGCAAGAGCTGGGAGAGTAAGTCAAGCTGCATTTCAAATACAATATATATATATATATATATATAAACAGTAGAAATTTAGCCACTGTATTTCTGCAAATAATTTGAATCTGATCTTACAAGGATAGTAATAATAATTACTTTATTCCTTAATTATCACATCAATGTAGCTAACAGGAAACATCACATTTTTTTCAAAAAGGAAAACTGGGATATCAATTACAAATACATTTCATGGCCATGGCTTCACTTTCCTGCTGAAGATACTCCCATAGGTAGAAACAGCAGCGTGAAGAAGAAGCGGGAATTGAGAAAGAACAAAGAGGAAGACTGGAACACTTGCAAGTATAATAATGGGAAGGAGACCCCATGAGTAGTTTGTATGCTTGAGCATGAGACGAATGGTGGAAAGAAAGGCGATCATCATGCTTAAAATTGAGATGAAGAGAAAAGAGAGACCCAAAATCAATTTCGTAGGCAAGGATTTGAGGAATTTTTCTTCAGAGTATTGAGAGGTAAGGATTGCAAGAAACATTAGAACCGAAGTTGATGAAGACAAGAGTGATAATATGGTTGAGAATATGAAAAGCTTGAAAAATGGTTGTTTGATGAATAATGGGTATCCAAAATTTTGGTCATTTCCTCCTGACACCGTAAAAGCCGCAGCAAACATAATGGTCACAATTAGTGCTCCGACAACCGAACAAGAAGATGCTGTGGCCTTTATCCATTTCTCTCCTGCTTTCATCAAATTCTTGTGACTTTCTCTGAATAATTCTTCGGCTGTCATGCCATGCTTGTTTCGAAGTCCCCTAAAAACTGGAGTTATGATAGTCTCCACCTCCTGCATTTATTTCAAACAGTGTTGTGTGTTTCACATTCTTATAAAAACCAGACTAGTATTGTAGCTAGTTCAAGGGTGATGTGGACAATGGTTTGGCCCCATAACACTTAGGATTTTTTTTTTGGGGGGGGGGGTGGGGAAGGTCAAAAAGGAAGTAGCCTCATGAGATTTAATTTCTTTGTAATGCCATTGAATAATTCCAACAATAGATCCATATGCTTCAATTGCATTTTATTTGCAGTCTCTATAGTTTTATTTCATTATTCCAAGTATTTTAATGGTTTGATTAGTCTACAACATTAGTTCTTGTAGTTTTGAAATGCACATAAAGATCATGAGTTGCCACTAACAGAGTTATTTCGTTGTAACTCTTACCAATCATTTTATTGACACGGTAAACATGTGTCAAAATGTATGGAAATAAATTGACTAGGTATGATTAAACATAAAAAATAAAAGGGGAAAATTTTCTTTTAGATTTGGCTTAAATTAAATTCACATCAGCAAAGAGGTTAATAGAGTTATGTACCCGTATATAAGCAACGTTAATTTTGTTGGTGTCAATTCCTTATATTTATTTTTGAAACTATAATTAAGGACTAATACTGGAAACAAATCAAATTAAAGAAATGAGAACAACAGAACAAAACTATATATAGTGACTAAAAGTAAAATGCAATCGAAGTATTTTTCCCATTCTAGAATCTAGAACAAATCGATGTGCCGGTATACGTTGTGAGATGCTTGCATGTAGACAAACTGTAATTAATAATAGATTCTTTCTTATGAAATATTATGACACAAATTAATGCATGGCTTTTTCCTAACCTTGAACCATTGCAGTTCTCTTTGCATTTGCAGTGTTGGTGCGTAGATTCGATTGAGAACGTGATCTGGAGCCTTCGTAGCTACCATATGTAGCAAGGTATTTTCTTCATCATCAAGTCCTGACATTACCAGGACACTCTTGAAACGAAGGCCATGGCTAAGGTTGAAAACCCTAGCTTGTCGAAACTTAACAGCATCTTGGAAACCCGCAGTCACTATTGGATTGAGGAGAATCTGTGGGATTGCTTTTGATATTTGAAAAACGAAGTCAACATTCCCTTCTTTAGCTGCCAGACATAGAGCCTCTTTTAAAACTCCATTTTCCCATGCTTTTTTTTGCTTTCATACAAACTAGGCAAATAAGGTCATCCGCTTGGGCATGCAGCAACTTGAGCTCTTGTAACTGCTTAATTCCTAGATCATAAGTAACACATACACATGCATGCGTGCATCTTTTTATTAGTTTAATTTATGAGCTTGAATGGGTAGAGACGTGTAGGTTAGCATACAAACCTATAAAATTACCAGTGGAGGTGATGAGCTTTTGTAGTAAACCATGCCCTGTTGCAACTTGCAAGAAAAGTTTTAATTAAGATCAAATCTTTTATTCAAACAATTTTTTATATACTGCATAAATGTATTATCCTATTAAAGACAATCTTGTTTAAGACATATTTGAATATTAAATGTGAGTGCCTCTCCCAGTTAATGAAGAGATAACATACTGATAATTAAAGGGAAGAGTTTCACTTATTGTTGAGTAAATTTTCCTATCATGATTTAGATCAATCGTAAATAACATGAAATTGTCACATGCCTTGATGCAACTATAAGATGTTAATTTTACTTAAAAACAATGCAAAATTTACAAGTTTCAATGTCGACAAAGTTTTTTGGTAAGTATAAGGAGTAGGTTTTACCAAACATATAACGGAAATTACCTTCCCTGAGATATTGAGGACAAAGGGTTATATATTAATCCTTTTCGTAAAACAATATTTTTGTAACATACCTGACTCAGTAAGATTTTCTTCTTCTCTTTGACTTCTATTTTCTTGTTGGATTTCTGTACAAACATGATTGATAGCCGTAGTTGAAGATATCTTTATACCTTACATGGTCAAAGAAACAACGAAAATAAAGATCATCTTGTTAAAAAAATTCTACTACTAATAAATAAGAAAACGACGACGACAATAATAAAAATAGTTCTAAATAAGTTTTGGAGTTGATTTACCAAAATGCTCTTATTTAGAAAAATTTAAAAACTCTTCCCATGATTGCCGGCAGGGGTGGAACCAGAACACAAGAGTTGGGGGGGCCAAATTTTAAAAAAAATCATATATACTGATTTTTTTAAAAAAATATATTTGGAATAAAAATTAAATTAAAATACTTTTATAAGATGAAAAAAATCTTAAGATAAGAATCATTTAGAATTTTTTTAATTTTTTTAAAAATAAAAATAAAGTTAAGTCCTAGCATATATTTTATACATATAATATAAACTTAAAAAAATTACATGCTCCATGTATTTAAACTAATATTAACCTGAAAAAACTAATATTATATATCTACCCTTATCTAATAGAATGTCTCATTTTAAAAAATTTATTAATTAACTTCCTTAATTAAGGGTATATTTAAAAAAAATCTTATTGATTGCACATTAAAAAAATTCAAAATATCTTATATTTTTTAACATCTTATTTCATGAAAAATGGCTTATATTTTTAAATGGAAGGAGTATATTTTTGTTTAATATACATACAGTATAAGAAATTATATATACGTGTATAGGGTAGAGTAATATATATATATATATATATATTTAAAGAAGGATGGAACTCCAGACATTTAGGTAAACACAATAGCAATACATGAGAATTGCAATGAAGTTGGCGGGTACCATGGCCCCCTTAAGATACAAGTAGGTCTGTCCCTGATTGCCAGTCACTAGCACCACCATTGTCGGCCGCCCACCGATGGTGACAAGCACTAACAGTTTTGGAAAGAGATTTTTTTAATTTTTTAATTAAGGACATTTTGATAAATGCATGTCAAAATTTTTTTCAAATTAAAACCTATGGGATTTCATTGTTATTTTTACCTACATTTTGTGGGACTTTCTTGTAATTAAAATTTTTATGTGGGATTTCTGTGTGATTTTCCCTCTTATATTTATATATACACACATACTAAGTACAGTAGTACTGACAGTTATAGATCCATCGTTTCCAGAACACAAGTTCACGTGGGCTGATAATAGAAGAGTTCAAGGTAGCGATTCCATAAATTGGCATCCAGTTCCTTGACGAATCGAAATGAACAAAAAGCAGTTCTTCGCGTCGTTGAAGCAAATGCAGAACGATATCTGCACACACACACAATATATATATATAGTCACTGCATGAATGGGAAAACATGTAATATATAAAACACAAAAATCATAATTTTGGATCTCTCTACTTTGTTCAAGTTTTATTATAGGTTTCTGTACTCTTTTTTTTTCAATATTCTATGTCCCTAGACTTTTTTTTTTTGTATTCTAGGTCCCTCTATGAGTAATATTATAAGAACTTAAGGTGTAGATGGAGAAAAGTATAACGACTTAGAACACCAAAAATAAAATACAAAGATTTATAATAAAATACCAACAAAGTACAGAAATTTATAGTTATGTTTTTCCTATAAAAATTACGTAAGGAACCAAAACATAGAGCATGTAAACAAGAACGAAGAAGCCTAGAACCCGGAGAGCCTATGTGGCATTCCAATGGAGTGACGGAATAAAGATAACGTCCCATTTCATGGTGACCGCAATGAAAGGCCATCGTAACAGGAAGGTCATCATCCCTTTGTGGAATGGCAAGTATGATACTATTCTTTTTGACGAGGCTTTTTGCAACTTGAGTGATTCCACTGGCTGCAGCCATTATAAGTGCCGTATCGCCAAAAGAGTCACGAGTTGGAAGGAATTATTAAGGCAGTAATTTTAGCAACTCCTCCACTATGGTGACATGCCCAAACATTGCAGCCACATGAAGTGTTGTGAGGTCAAAATCAGCAATTTTTGCTGTCAAGTGTCAAAGCACTAGGGTTTTGATCCAGGATTGCTTTTGCTCTCCAGTTGTTACCACATATAGCCTTGTTCAAAGCCTCCTGTAATAATCCACACATATGATCAATGTTAGGAATGGAGAGTGACCGCCTAGAAATAGGAGGAGAGGACAAATGGGCAAAACCAGTAGAAAAACACTACATTTTTATTCAAAACTTCAAAACTCGAGTTTATGCGTCATTTTTTTATTATATTTTAATTATTAAGTTTAACTTTATTTGATGTAGGATTTCTCACATTGGCTAAAATCCATTTACACTTAGACAACTTAATAATTAAATATTAGAAAATTAATGCTTCTGAATTTCAACTAGTAAAAATATTGTTCTAATAAGTATGCATATGAAAATTGACAAGTAATGATAACAGTATGACACTAGAAAAGAGCTTTTGTACCAAGTCACTGGACTGTTGTTCCCTGCGTGGCCTTGGTGAGGATTGTTCTGAGTCGGGTTTTAGCCTATCATCTGTACCACCATGGAAAGGGGAAGAGCCACCGAGTGTATAAGGGCGGTGCAGATCCACGCAAGGATCAAAGTCGATTGGTGAGTTTGGTGTCAAGTCACCTGGAAATGTGAACATTTTGGGATACATAATAATGCGTACGCAGATCTTTATGATGCTGTACTGATGATCAACCTGCGTTATATTATTATGTCAAATATGTTTACTAATATTAGGAAATTTAGTGTTTGTGTGTGTCAGAACTCATAATCATAGTGAATGAAATGCATGCATGAACTTACCAGTTGAGCCTTGAGCCTTGGATCGCACAAGCTATGATGACCACACGGAGATTTTGAATAACAAAGATATCATAAGACAGGGGATGTTAAATAGGTCTGGTCATTTGAGCTTTAAAAGGAAAAGGACAAAGAAATTCGTGAAATGTACTCACTGTTTTTTCCTTCAATTTGCTTTGGCCCCCGCAAATGCATAAATTGAACATATGCTTCCTTGTGTTAGTTTCCAACGAATCATCGACCTTTAATTTCTTTTTCAATAGTTCATATTTTCATGAGAATGGCTTTAATTTTCTTCTTTTATATATATATATATATATATCCGTTGATGATATGTTTCGATTATTTATGATTTTATTAAATCTTTAAACTTTTTGGGATAGCCTTTTGCTTTTCTCAGTGATGTATGGTAAATGGTGAAAATATATATAATTTCCATATATCTCCTTGCAAGGTAAATTGCATGTAATTTACATTGTATAGATTAAAGTTAGATGGTTCTAGCTACTATCAAAAGAAAAAAAATGGATGGTTAATATTTTATTAATATTTTAATTCCATAACTTTATATTGAGAAATTTAAAATGTTCGTATTTATAGTATGAAATGATTCATGTATGACATATATGCAAAAAGTCCCAGCCCCTCCTGTGAAACTCTTGATATACTTTATACTTTGCTTTGCTACCACTTAAATTTCTTTAGAAAGAATTTAGCTTACTTGGAAAGCCTATTGACAAGCAAACAGTTTTAACTAGAAGGGTAAATATGTATTTTTATCTCTAAAGTATTCTCCAAAGAGTACCCAACATCTTAAACTATTAATTCAAGCAATTTTATCCTTAAAATAATTAAAATAAAACATTTTTGCTTTTGTTAAATTTCCTAACGATCAACATTGAAGTCTTAGTCGAGAGACCATAAGAAGCTGCATTTGGTTTCTTGGGACAGAGTATGTCGAGGGAAAGATAAGGGTGGACTTAGAATTTGTATTGGCCCAAAAGTTTTTTTAAAAAAATAAAAAACAAAATAAATAAAATAAAGTAATAATAATTAAATTAATTAAATTGAAATTTCTGATGAGACATTTAAATATATTTTTATTAATTTTAGGATAAATATAAGAAGAAAGATGAGGTGGCTTAATGGAAATTCTCCTAGTGTCTAACTTTCTATTTAAGGGATCGAATCTATAAGTTAAAAAGAAATCTATTTTTCTTCAGCCTTATGAAATTGCCCTACTGCCCTAACTTAAAGTATGAGAATTTCTTTTTGTTTTATCCCTCTTCTCTCCTTTCCCGATAAATTTGCATATGAACCATGGAGAGGGAGTTTATCCAGAAGCTTCGTTCTCTCTGGCCGAAAATCTTAGTTCTCTACCTCATCTGTTTGCTACCGTTACCGTTCAAGCTTCTTCCTTCTTGGATTAAAAACGCCGGCGCCGATTGTGCTTTTAGGTTCATGTGGCTGTGGGTGCATTCAGATCTTCTTCTCCCTTCCTCTGCATCTTTGCCTGTGGTTGTGGCGTTCCTGTTCTGTGGGTGTTTTCGAACTTCTTTCCCCTTATTTCTAGCTGTGTGCCGTCAATAGATATTTCTTTTCAAATCATAGAACCACACGTACAGAATCCACAAGAAGGAAAGGATATCCTTTATGATATTTTACTCCTCTGTGCTGCGGTACATGTTTGACTGGGAAGGACAAATTGTGATTCAAACAAGGTGAAATTAACATAAAAGAAGAGAAGAAAAGAAATATCTATTCATGTATTTGTTGCTACGAGAGGGATATAGATGGGAGTTTAAATCTTTTTTTAAGCTTAATTGATTTAGGAGGAGTTGAGCTTGAGAAACCCGCATGTTTTTTTTTCCTTTCATCTTTACTAATTGTTAATTATGGAAAGAAAAAGGACATTTGAGGATGTATCTCAGTTAATAGAATAGGATTTTTGTTTGGAGCAGCATTTTTTTGAGATTCCATTAAATTAGATAAAGCATAACTGATTTAAATGATATTTAGATGAGTTAAGTTTGGGTATTGCAAAAAATCTAATTTTGAAATGATAGTGTGGTTAGTTGAATTCTTGGAAGTGGTATATTGAGAAATTTACAACTATGGTGTTGTTTTATCTTTTGATTTTGAGGATGTTGAAGATATCTGATAAAAATAGGTGATGGAAGTATAATGAATTTAATTGTAGGAGTTTAAAAAGAAAATTGTTTGGCAAGAGGTATTTGATTAAAAGTTTTATTGAATGGATTGGAAATTATGTATACAAAGTGTTTGACACAAGGTATAAGAAAATCATACCTCATTTGAATAATAGTCATTATTAAGTGATATGAGGTAAATTGGTGGTAAGTGTTGATGATTGGAAAATTATTATGATATGAACTTTGGTTTTGGAATTTTGAATACTTGCAATCGGTTGGGATTGTGTTGGTGATAGGATGAAGTTTATATGACTATAGGGAATAAATTGAGGTTTTGTTTATACCTACTCCTATAGGGTGTGTGGAAGATGAGGACTTTGATAAAAAAAATTGATAGGAGAAAATCGTTGAATTTTGAAAAATTAGCAGGTAAGTGAATAGCACCCCATTATTATTTTTAAATAAAAGTAGTCTGGTTTTGAAAATATTACATTTTCATATAAATCATTTTAACAACTATAATGATTATTATGTACTTTGTTAATTAAATTATTTTGGGTTTGGAAATTATAGAATGATGATGAAAGTTAATTAAATTATGGTATGTGCATGTATTTTCTTTATGAAATATATTTTCAAGATTGATAAAGGCATCTATGTTTATTGTACTCTGAAAATTCTTAGTTACTCAACTAATAAAAGCTTGTACATTAGCTATGAAATATTATTCTAGCAAGTTTTGATATTTGAAATGATTCATGCAAGTTTGATATTGAGAATGTAAATTGTATTTCAAAAATGATTCATATTGCATGTTTGAAAATTGATTTTTAGAGGACTTTATACAGAACACTGATTGCTAACAGTAGTTTTGTTAGCCCATGGCGCGCCATGATCAATGACTAGCTAGTTTGATTTTCGTGAGTTTTGTTCTCACGTTTGCTATTCGTGGGTCTCGTACTCGCATTTGTTTTTGTGGCTTCGAGCCGCATTTAGTTAGCATTACCTTCGTGGACTGTGTGTTCACGTTTGTTTCATTGCCTCGGCTGCGTTTGGTTACTTACTCTCGTGGATTGTATATTCATGTTTGTCTTCATGGCATAAGTCGCGTTTGGTTATTTACCCTCATAGACTGTGTGTCCACGTTTGTTACTTGTTCTGTTAAATCCTCAAAATTTTAGATTTTTACGTAACATGTGGTATTTTAAATTTCAATACTTTCAGTTCTTTAATTTATTACTTTGATTTATATGTGGATAATTTGTTTTCTTCAAGTATGATAGAATAAAGCAATTTTCAGTTCACTCTCATTTTACAGTTATAATTAAAATTTACAGATTTATTAGATTTATTATATTGAATTATCATACCTTCAATTAGTTTACTTAATTGTTTGAGTTTATTATTTTTACTCTTTTAAATTATTTTTTTTTTGAAATGTTATTCACTGAAAAATATTTTTGGTCTCAGACTCATTAGCTAAGGTTGGACCTCCTGCTTGTCATTGAGGGGCTTACAACTGTGGTGGATGAATATTTATTGTTGGAAATGCCTTTTCTTTTAATGTAAATATTCAATTATGTGTTTTATTTTAAAATTATGTTTAGGTGCTTCATGTTAACTATAGAAAGAATCCTGATTTTACTTTTCTAAGTTGACTGTCTATTGTTGGGAGTGATGTTCTAAACTGTTGAATACATGTTGTAATATTTTTGTTGTAGAGATTTTGGGAGATCTTATTTATCGAGAAAGTTATGTCAAAATTTCTACAAAAATGTTGAAGCTTTCGTAATAATTAATATTATTAAGGATGCTAGAATTCCAATATAAATCCAACTATGTTTTAAAAATAGAATAATTTCTCGATTTGAGGCTTAAGGGATATGTGATGTAGTTCACATCTCATGCCGGTCACTTTCATTTTTGGGACGTGATAGGATTAAAAGGCTTACTGCCCAGAATCAAGCATTCCTAATGAAGAAAAGTTGGGGACTGATTCATCAAAAATAGACGCTATGGGCTAGGATATTTAGAACTAAGTACAAGTGTCGTGAGGATTTAATTCCAACTGTTCAACGCTCCAAACCTGGCTCAAGGCTTTGGAGTGGTATTAAAAAAACCCGGGATTTGTTTGAGACGGGTCTTGAGAAAATCGCTCTGACAAGCGGTGGAGAATCTGTACGTTGGAAGTTAGAAAAGAATGGTTTTTTCGCCGTCAAGTCAGCCTACTCCTTGGTATGTGATAATGTGAATATGATTCGACTACTTCTATCCTATGGAGGATGATGTGGAATTTGAAGGTGCCTCAGAGGTGTAAAACTTTTTTATGCTTAGCGTTACAGGAGCGTCTTATAACAAATGAATTAAGAAGAAGTAGAGGAATGTGTGATAGCTCTGCATGTTCGGCCTGCGAATCAGGGGTGGAAGATGTAATTCATGTCCTACGTGATTGCCCAGTGTCTCAGGAAATTTGGTACCGAAATGTCCGACCTGATCTGTTGCAACCTTTCTTTGAACTTGGTCTCCAGGATTGGTTTAAATGGAATTTTAGCAGTAATGTGGGGATTACTTCAGATGAATGGGCCCCATGGTTCTCTATTGTGTTCTGGCTCATTTGGAGAAGGAGAAATGAACGAATCTTTCAGAATGAAAATGTGAATCTAGTAGCACATGCGAGAGGAATTGTGAGATGCATGACAACTGTAAGAGGTGCTTCTCAACGCTCTGTTTTATCAATTAACCCACCCTCCATTGCTAAAATTTTTATAGATGGCGCCTTCTCAAGAATCTCTGGAGCTGTGGGTTGTGGAGGGGTCTTCAAAGATCAGCATGGAGATTTGGAAGGGGGTTTTATCCTTAGACTGACAAATGGTGATGCTCTATCGGCTGAAATCTGGGCTATCATTATGGGATTGAAATGTGCGTGGGATAAAGGCTTAAGAGAGTGCATGTTGCTGTGTGATAGTGTTGAAGCAATCTCTGCTATCACAGTAGGAAATATCGATCTACATGAACATCATGATTTGATTTTGGAGGCTCGGGCCATCTTGCAAAGAGACTGGAATGTCAGAATTCAATTTATTCCAAGAGATGGTAATCTTGATGCTGATTGGTGTGCTAAGATGGTATTGAACTCTGCCCCTGGACTTCACTTTCTTCAACATGAGGAGATTTTCAGTGACGCTTTCTTTGACCCCTCCTTGAGCTAGTGTACCTTTTTTTTTTTTTTAGCTTTGTTTTGTTTTTCCTTGTTTATCCCAAAAAAACAAAAAAACATTGAAGTCTTAGTCAATGCAATACTAAAACTTACATATATTTTTGTATTTTGAATATAGAAGTGAATATATAATTAGTTAATTAATTTTATTTAACTTAATCTTAAAGTTAAACATATTGTATTTAAATAATAAATTCTCAATTTTTTAAAAAACTGCCCCCATTTAATACAAGCACAAGAGATTTGTATGATGCACTGATCAATTTGCATTGCACATTATTTTTCAAAGTATTAATATTTAATAATTTTCGGCAAATTGTCGCGGGAACCCTGTGGCTTGGTGGTGGAGGTGTTTTGCTTTCACAAGTCAAGCCACGAGAGTTTGAACCCAGGCACTCTCAATCTCATACACACGAAATAATTTTTGAGAAATTCAGCATGTGTATATATTTAAAAACAACTTTAAAAAAATACATTAATCACTTGTACCTCGAGAAAAAATAACAAGCATGTTAGTAAGAGTTAAAGTCACTATAAATTAATTGCACAAAAAAATGAAATTATAAACATATTGCATTAAACTAAGGTGAGAACAAAAATATGAAATTCGGCATGTGTATATATTTAAAAACAACTTTAAAAAAAATACATTAATCACTTGTACCTCGAGAAAAAATAACAAGCATGTTAGTAAGAGTTAAAGTCACTATAAATTAATTGCACAAAAAAAATGAAATTACAAACATATTGCATTAAACTAAAGTGAGAACAAAAATATGAAAGTGAGAATTACACAAAAGTCTCACACAATACATTTAAATACTGTAAGATCTGTTAACAGTTAAGTCTCACACAATAGTTTGAGGGGCCTGAAAATAATTCTTTCAACATGAAATATACATGTCGACTTTGAGCATTTTGGATCACACAAGCCATAGACCATACTGACAACAATTAATATGAAGTTGTTATAAAAAAAAGTTGATTGGGTCCAAAAAAAAGACCAAATTTAATGTGGCCCAATAAAGGATTCGGTCCAATAAATGGAGAGTCATCCTATGAAAAGTATTAAAATCACATCTCTCACCAACATAAGTTGAGTCTATAGTAAAAGGAGTTGGTCTTCATAATATAATAAATTAAGGTTTAAGTGTCATGAAAAATCATACCCAATACTATTGTCTATGAATAGGATCAAGAGGGCAGCAAGACATCAATTACGAGAAATCGTCTTATGGCCACATCTCCACTTTCTCGTCAAAGATATCCCCGTACGTAGTAGTAGCAGTATGAAGAAGAAGAGGGAATTGTGACAGCACAAAGTGGAAGATTGGAACACTTGCAAATATAATAACGGGAAGGAGACCCCATGAGTAGTTTGCACGGTCCAGTATGAGACGAATGGTGGAAAGAAAGGCTATCATCATGCTTGCAATGGAGATGAAAAGAAAACAGAGGCCCACAATCAATTTTGTAGGCAAGGATTTCAGGATTTTTTCTTCTGAATATTGAGAGGTGAGAATTGCTAGAAACATTAGAACCGAAGTTGAAGAAGAGAAGAGCGACAAAATAGTTGAGAATATGAAAACCTTGAAAAATAGCTGGGCGATAAATAATGCAAAACAGTTTCCCTGCTCATCCAAGAGATGAGATCTAAACTGTCCAGATTTTAATTTAGACGGTCCAAATTTAAAATATTATTTAATATTAATTTATTGAAATAAAAAATTATAAAAATAAAAATTATAAAAAAATTTAATATTTTATAATTTTTATTTTAATAAATTAATATAAAATAATATTTTAAATCTGGACCGTCCAAAAAATATGGATGATCTGTGCTCATTCAAGAGAGTAGGGAAACCATTCCCTAAATAATGGCATGGGTATCCAAAAGTTTGATCATTTCCACCTGGCACAGTAAAAGCCGCAGCAAACAAAATGGTCACGCTTAGGGCACCGACAACAAAACATGAAGATGCCGTGCTCTTTATCCATTTCTCTCCTTCCTTCATCAATTCTTTGTGACTTTCTCTAAATAATTCTTCTGCTCTCATGCCATCCTTGCTCCGAAATTCCCAAAAAATTGGAGGCATTAAACTCTGCACCTCCTGCATTTATTTCAAGAAGCATTAAGTATTTCATGTTCCCACCAAAATACCATAGCCAGTTCAACAGTGGAGAGGACTATAGTTTGGCCCATATATAACCCTTAGAATTGAGAGAAAATGGTCAGCAAAGAAACTGGAAATTTGCTTCAAAACTGTAATTCATTCATTGCTTTGAGGTACTGCCTTGATCCCTATAAGACATTTCTAACCATCTCTCAAGAATTTAAAAAAGGCGCCTTGTAAGGAGAGGATGTCCAGCTGATTTATAAACCACATTCCACCAATGTGACCTCTTGACGTGGTGGGACTCATGACATAGCCTACCCCTTAAGAGTTGGTGTCTGCGACGGCTCACACTCCATGACGCTTCACTCAACCTTTGGCCAGTTAGCCCCTCCGTGGGTAGCCCTTTTCACGAACAGCGACTCTCAATGAAAGCACCAATATCATAATCACAACCCATCTAGGTATAACTCACTCCCAAAAGGCGCCTCGTAAAGAGAAGGTGCCCAGCTGACTTATAAATCATATTCCACCAATGTGGCCTTTCGATGTAAGACTCATGACAGTGATTAGTTAATACCCCATTAAATATCTTATATTAAAGGTTATCAATTTTTTCTAGAAGTACCATATAATAAAGGACTAGGGAAGTACTTATTAATAATAGATTTGATCTTATAAAATATTATTACTCAAAAATTAATGCATGTTTCTTTTCTTACCTTGAACCATTGCAGTTCTCTGCATTTGCAGCGTTGGTCATAGATGCAATTAAAAACGTGATCAGGAGCCTGTGTAGCTGCCTTATGTAGAAAGGTATTTCCTGTATCTACATATGCTAACAAGGCACGCTTGAAGCGGTGCCCATGGATAAGATTGAAAACCCTAGCTTGTCGATAATTAAGAGCATGGCTGAAACATAAAGTCAATGTTCGAGTGACCATAATTTCTGAGATTATTTTAGATACTCGAAACACGAACTTAAGATTCCCTTCTTTAGCTGCAAGACATAATGTAATAACCTTACATTTTTAAAAAAAAAAAATTGAACAAAATTTTGCCCAAGAGATATTTTATTTAAAAAAGGTTTTTTTTTTAGCAAATTTGATTTTTATTTTAAATTTTATAAGAATTTGGGTCTTTTTTTGTAATTTTCTTCGGGTCTTTGTTGTAATTTCTTTGTGCTTGGTTTTGTAATTTTCCCCAAACTCTTTGATCAGATCATATTTCTTCGCGTGGAAGTAAGAAAACAGAGGATTCCATTTTGCTTCTTCACCGACTTTGAGCTCTCTTCTCTCATCACTGTCGAACTCTCTCTTCTCACTTTCAGCTTGCTTTTCCTCTCATCTTTGGTTGCATCTGATTGTGCCCGTGCGTTTCGGCAGCTGGGACTGTGAGTTACCAGAATCTGCTCCTTCTTTGCTGTCATCTCTTGCTTATCCGTCCAGGTAGAGCGTTCGCGTATGTATGAGTGTGTTTAGCTTCAATCTTTCTTGCTTTCTATCTTCTGAACGTTTTGTATGGGTGTATGATAAGCTAAATTCCTCTCTTTTCCTGGTCACGATTTCTGGTTTCCTTTTCCTTATTCGAGTTGCAGAACAGAGATTGCTTCCTTCATCAGTTTCGACCACGTGCTCATCCTGAACCATTATCGTTGCACTTTAGTTTGAGGTAAATCTTTGGTCCTCTCTTCTCCCTCTTCGATGACAGCATCAACACTGAATCATTCCTTCTTTTCTCCAGCCGTAGGGTGCAGCCTCTGTTTTTTACTGTTGTAATATTTTTAGTTAGGTTCAAGGAGAAATTTCGATTGATGCTGGAAATGGTTTTATGGTGATATTGAGTAGATATATAATTGTAGAATTTAACGTTGGGAGTTGTGGAACTTACTTGGATGTACTGATTTCATAACTTAATGAATAGAGAATGTCCTCGAAGTGTTTGTGGGTATGCTTGAAAAAGAAGATATTAATGGAAAGAAAGTTGTTGAATTGTATGGGTGTTTATCTCGTAAATTTGTCAATGACAAATATATGCCCTCAAGGTACTTATAAAAATGTGTGAGGAAAGAACTTAGTGAATTATGGGTTGTTAAAACTTTCATGTTATAACTTGGAGAGGTATTTATAATTTTGGTTTAAGTTATTAACTGAAAATTTTAAAATATTAAAGTGAGAAAAAGGATTACATAGGATGCTTGTTTTACATTTTTAGTCCAAAAAAGTTTGAAAATAATTGATATGATTTATTATGATTTATGAATGAGTACGAGTCATGAGGAAGTATGAGTTTAAATTGAAAAATGTCAAATGAGTTAACTATATCAAGTGTAATTGAAACAAAATTTATTAGAGTATTATCTTTAATATTGTTTGGATTAAATTCACATGCCTAGTTAGTGAATGGAAAACTTCTTGATAAATGATTTTAGAATTACGATTTATTTATTAGGAAATCATGAACACCATTAGAATTAAAGTGAAAAATTAAGAGGAGCACGCTGTAGAATTTTAAAAAACTATCAGGTGAGTAGGTAGCGTTTCGAATAAATCTCTAGTAAAGTGATTATAAAATTTTTTATTTAAATTTTACTATTAATCCTTTATAAATTGTACAAGTATCATTATTAATCCTATTTTTGTTCTAATAGTTGCCTTATTAATGAAAATGTCTTGATTTTACGGATGAGTTAAATTGTTGATAAGTAATGGGTGAAACGTACATATGATTAATTAATGATGTACATTTTTTTAGTAGTTTGATTATTGGATTTTATGTTGAAATAAAATTTTAACATAATGACACATGTATGGAGGAAATAATGATCAATTTGGACAATAGGAAATGATTGTTGAATAGTATTTGATAGAGAAAATTTTAAAAATGTTTTCTCGCTCCATACATGCTTGATTTTATTGAGGAGGACTGAGTTCAGAACGCTGGATGCTAACAGTAGTCCTGGTAGCCCTTGGCGCGATATGATATACTTAGCTAGCAAGGTGTTTATAGGAGGTGCTAGCCTTGTGCGATGACCAATGCATATGAAATGGAGGGACCGTTATTCGTGAGTATCGTACTCACGCTTGTTTTTGTGGGCTTCATATCTACGCTTGGTTCGTGGCTCCTGCTGTGCTTGTTTCGTGGCTTTTGACTGCGCTTGATTGATTACTTACCTTCGTAGACTGTGTGTCCACGTTTGATTGGTGATTAACCCTCATGGACTATGTGTCCACACTTGTTATTTATTCTAATAAAGTTCTCCTAAAATTTTGAATTAAAATTTATTATTTTTCTAGTAATTTTGTGAAAGTACTTTATTAAACTGTCCTAATATTGGAAATCTTTATATTTTATGAGTAGTAAAAAATTTTAATACATATATGTGATTCTATTAGCATTGTTTAATTTTACAATCATATTATGGAGAAAAATCATTACTTATTTCTAACTTAAGGATATAATTCATTTTTTTATTAAGTCATTTGAAATTAAATTTATTATTTATTATCTTCATATTTTTTTTATTATAATTTTGATTAGAACGCTACTCATCGATAATTTTTTGGTTTCAGATATTGTAGCTGATTCTGTGCCTCCAACAAATCATAGAGGGCCCCTTTTGTTTTTGGAAAAGAGGAAGCATATTGCAATTATTGTTTTGGTAATACTATATATTATATTTTGTAATCATAACTTAATGCTACACACACACTATAATTAAGTCCTAGTCTTATTTTGTTATTATCTAAATTACTGAAATGGAATTAATCTCCTTGTTGGTTTGGTTAGTAGGTTTTGTTGTTGTTGTGAAAATTTTGAAAGGTCCAAATTAGAAGGGAGATTATGTCAAAATTTTTACAAAACCTTTAAAGCTTTACGATCTTTCCTATTAATATATAACTTATATATATCAATATCTTAACTTAATTTCTGATTATTTAAGCTTATTGAATATGAGTTCTTCTCATATTTCATACCGATCATACCTTTAATATCAGGATGTGACATATAAAGCCTCCTCCAAAAACTCTCTTCTCGTATGCCTTCCTTGCTTTCTTGCAAACTAGTTCAAGAAGTTCTTCTGCTTGTGCTGCAACAACTTGAGCTCTTGTATTTTCTTAACTCCTCCCAGATTGATACGTAACGCACATTCATCTTTTTTGTTATGAGAATTAAGAGTGCGCTTGAAAAAGTATCCAATTCGTTGAAGAGATGTCAAAGTGAGAATACGTACCCATAAAATTATCAAAGTTAATGAAACTTTGTAGTAAACCATGCCCTGTTGCAACATGCATGAGAAGTTTCAATTAAATATATCATAAGAAAATTAATGTGATTTCATCATAACTTACGTTTTTAAATTCAGTACTTATCCCCCTATGTTTCAGGTAGCATTGAAAATCTTATAAAAAAAATCCTGATTTCATTCATATTAATCTTATTAGGAGCGGTCCTTAGTTGTCATTATTTCAAGTTTCTTAATTAAAACCAAATCTTGTGTATTTTTTCCTCTGAACAAATGTTCAAATAGAAGTATTCTTTTGAAGAGCTTTTTTTTGTCAACCTATTGAAGAGCTAACAAAGTTGTTTTGAATTAATCTGTAAAATATTAACCTTAGGGTTGCACAGGGATTGGGTGAAACCAATTAAGTTAATGTATTAAAAAACAATTATATATATATATATATGTAATGATCCTAAAATTTAACTTGAATTAAAATTTATAATTATATGATTTAATTTAATTTTATTAGTTTTTGGAGTAGACATAACAATGGATTGGTAGCTTAGTGGTAATGTAACACTCCAGAAATTGAGTAAAATTGAAATAAATGATAGTGTTTTGTGATGACCAGAAAATTCAAGAATTTTAAATAATGCAATAAATTTTATTTAAACATCAAAAGAGGAGTTGGTGTAAATTCAAAAAATTTAAGATAAAATAATTAACTAATTAATTAATTTTGCTCTTGGTATTTTGACTTAAATTTTAATAACTCTAGAATTTTAGTAGAATTAAAATTTATGATAAGAAATTTTGATTGTATTTTATTTAAAGTTTTAACTCCGCCTATGTTTATAGCCGGTCCCAAGCCCGGGTAAAGGAGGAGGGTTGTGTTAGGCCATCAACAGCCAATGTAAAAATTTGTTGAATCTATCATGAACATGGACAATAGACGTTATAATGTTAATGCTAGGTCGTTGCCCGTAAGTAACGCGCTGCATGGCTCGAGTACAGTGATAAGTGAGTTAGAGCCGCTGCATCGGCGCCCGGATGTAGTGTTAAATGAGCAAGGGCTACCGCGTCATTCTGGACGCACGCGGCTAAAGAAGTTAGTCCATAAGAGCAAAATTAGATTTGGTACTTGGAATGTTGGGACATTAAATTGTAAATCTGTAGAGGTTGTAGGGGTTATGATTCAAAGGAAAATCAATATCCTTTGCTTGCAAGAAACAAAATGGCGTGGAGAAGAAGCTAAGGATATTCAAGGTTTCAAACTTTGGTATACAGGAAAAGTAAGTGCACGCAATGGAGTAGGCATCATTATAGATAAGGAGTGGAAGAAGAACGTTGTAGAAGTTAGCAGAATTGGAGACAGAATTATTTCTTTAAAAATGATAATTGGACGTGAGACTGTTAATATTGTTAGCGCTTATGCGCCGCAAGTCGGGACAGAAGCCAGTCTTAAGGAATTATTTTGGGAGGATCTGGAGGGGTTGATTCGACACATACCACAGAGTGAAAAGATTTTTATTGGAGGAGACTTTAATGGGCATGTCGGGAGGGAAGCTGGTCAGTATGCGAGGGTGCATGGTGGTTTTGGTTTTGGAGAGCTAAACAATGAAGGGCAAACTCTTCTTGATTTCTCATTGGCGTATGATTTTAAGATTGCCAATACTTGTTTCAAGAAGAGAGATGAGCATCTCATCACCTACAAAAGTGGAGCCTCAAGGTCGCAGATTGATTTTCTTTTGGTTAGGAACACAGATAGAAAACTTTGTAAAAATTGTAAGGTGATCCCTGGAGATGATGCTGTAACGACACAACATAGGGTCCTAGTCCTTGATGTGTGTATTATGAGTAAAATCCAAAAACGTCGACAAGTAGTAACACCAAGGATTAGGTGGTGGCAATTAAAAGGTGAGAAGCAAGATATTTTCAAGCGAAATCTTTTGGATAAAGGAATTTGGGATTCTCAGGGAAGTGCTAACATCATATGGGAGGATATGGCTAAAAAGATACGGGAGGTTGCAAAAGTAGTTTTGGGAGAATCGAAAGGTCCTGGTCCGAGAGATAAGGAGTCTTGGTGGTGGAATAATAGTGTACAGGACAAAATCAAGTATAAGAAGAACTGTTTTAAAGCCATACATTTGTGTAACAATGAGGAAAATTGGGAGAGGTACCGTATGGCTAAGAAGGAAACTAAGAGAGCTGTGGGTGAAGCTCGTTCTAAAGCTTTTGAAGAATTTTATAAGAACCTTGAGACGAAGGAAGGAGAGCAAAATATTTATAAGATTGCCAAGAGTAGGGAAAGAAAATCAAGAGATCTAGAACAGGTAAGGTGTATTAAGGATGAAGAGGGAAGAATTTTAGTTACAGATGATGAAATTAAAAATAGATGGGAGACTTATTTTTCTAAACTTTTCAATGATGGAGAGGATTCATCTAGTAACTTGGAGGATTTAGTAATTGGTGAAGGAGAACAAAATTTGTCATTCTATCGAAAACATACGTGATAAGGAGGTAAAGGAAGCTCTTAAGAAAATGGCAAATGGTAGAGCTAACGGACCTGATTGTATATCTATCGAAGCGTGGAAATGTTTAGGTGAAGAAGGGGTGAGATGGTTAACTAAGTTATTTAATGTGATTTTACGGTCCAAGAAAATGCCTGATGAGTGGAGGAGAAGTACATTAATTCCTATTTATAAAAATAAAGGAGATATTCAGAATTGTACTAACTATAGAGGGATTAAACTCATGAGCCACACAATGAAATTGTGGGAGAAAGTAATTGAGCATAGGTTGAGATTGGAGACAAGTATTTCTGAGAATCAATTTGGTTTTATGCCAGGTAGATCAACTACAGAGGCGATTTATCTACTAAGGGGATTAATGGAAAAGTATCGTTGTAAAGATAAAGATCTACACATGGTTTTTATTGATTTGGAAAAAGCTTATGACCGTATACCAAGAGAAGTGCTTTGGAAAGCGTTGGAAAAAAAGGGAGTACGGATTGCTTATATTAAAGCCATACAAGATATGTATGAGGGGGTAAAAACTAGTATAAGAACGCCTAGTGGTCAAACAAAGGATTTTCCTATAAAGATTGGGCTACATCAGGGATCATCTCTGAGTCCTTATTTGTTCAACTTGATTTTAAATGTTTTGACGGAACATATTCAAGAGGAAATCCCGAAATGTATGCTCTTCGCGGATGATATAGTTCTTATAGCAGAGACAAGAGAAGAGGTTAATTGCAAACTTGAGTTATGGAGGAGGACATTGGAGTCGAAAGGTTTTCGTCTGAGTAGAAGTAAGACGGAATATTTATATTGTAAATTTGATAAAGGACTATTCGAAAATAATTTGGAAGTAAAATTGGGAGATCAAATTATACCTCAAGTGGAAAAGTTTAGATATTTGGGAGCCATTATCCAAAATGATGGCGAAATCAGTGGAGATATTTCACATAGAATTCAAGCTGGGTGGTTTAATTGGAGAAAAGCTAAAGGAGTTATTTGTGACCGTAAGGTGCCTAATAAACTTAAAGGAAAGTTTTATCGTACTGCTATCAGACCGGCAATGTTATATAGTAGTGAATGCTGGGCTCTAACGGGACAGCAAGAGCATAAAGTTGGAGTAGCAGAGATGAGAATGTTACGATGGATGTGCGGACATACACGTAAAGATAAAATTCGAAATGAGCACATACGTGAAAAAGTGAGGGTGGCACCTATTGAGGAAAAAATGGTAGAAAATCGGTTGAGATGGTTTGGGCATGTACAAAGAAGACCAAGGGAGGCACCAGTGAGAAGAGTGAAACATATAACTTTGAGTCCGATTAAGAGAGGTAGAGGAAGGCCTAAGAGAACACTCTTGGAAGTTGTTGAACGTGATCTCTTAATTAATAATATTTCTAAAAGCTTAATAAATGATAGAGCACAATGGCGTCTTGCAATCCATGTAGCCGACCCCACCTAGTGGGATAAAGGCTTGTTTGTTGTTGTTGTGTTGTTGTTGTTTATTTTATTTAAAGTTTTAGAGTAAATTGTAATAACTTATGAATTTAAGTAAGATTAAAATTGATGATAAATTATTTGATTGTATTTTATTAATTTTGAAACAAGTAAGACAAGAGAGGATGTTGGGTGTAGTGGAAATTCTGCTAATAACATCTATTGGGTCATGATCTGAATTTTTGCAGATGTTAGAGAGGTGTTTTATATGTTTCAGCCTTTAGTGAGATTACTATATTGCCCCTTGTGAAAAAAAAAAAAAAAAGAAGAAGATAAACCGAGACAACGCGATCGGGAAACTTCTTTGCCCCATTCTCATTCCAGTCATGACCGAGAGAGGTGGAGAGAGATGTGAGCGACAGATTTGATCCTCAGTTCGCCATTCTTCTTTTCCTATCTGTTCATCGCCGGCGACCGTGTGAG